GTGCCCATCAGGGGACATCTGTCGCACATGACTCGCCCGGACCTGCCTCGCCCGTCTCCCACGGGTACAGAGCGCCCGGCGCTACCCCGGCGTGGGAGAGGGCCCGGCGCTACCCCGGCGTGGGAGAGCGCCCGGCGGCCGGCCGGCCCGGCGCCGAGCGACCCCTCTGACCCCGGCCGACCTTCAGCGGACCCCGACTGACCTCCGGTGCCCCGCGGCGGTGAGCGGCACGTCTGCTGACAGGGCGCCGGCTCCGTGTCGGCGCGGGTAGTTAGTGAAGGTGTACCTCCGCCGGCGGCGGTTGCAGCGCCCACTGGACGTGTCCAATTAGTGAGCCCCGGTCCAGCGCGGGCGGACAGGGGCCAGTGGGGTTACCTCGATCCGGGCTGTTACGGCCGGCTCCCCAGCCGGCCCAGTTGCCGAAATGCTTTGTTGGCAGTTTTTAGGGTTGTTGCATAAGGAGTATTTAGAGTGACCCCATGATGAAAATTGGCATGCGTTTCTTTACCCTAACCAATGCAGCATTTCACGATGCAAGCAAGCATCTATAGTGTCATGAGGTAAAATAGACTTTCAAGTCCTTGTTATGTCACATGGTATTTGCAATTAAATTGCTCATTATTCTTCGCCCACCCCGCTTCTTGTGTGGATCTAACCAAAAAAGACAGATAGCAGCATAGGCGTCGCCAGAGATTTTCGGTTGGGGGGGCAAAATCAACTTTTGTGTTAAATCTTGCCTTCCTCCAGTCGTTACTCATTCATTTTACATATCATTCAACGCGCAATGGTGCGAGGAATACGATGGTGACAAGGTTTTCCTTGTAGCTATGACTAGCTTTTTTTTACAGAAAATTCAATTTTTTAAATTCTTGAACAAAAAACGACCGGTAGAATCACAATGGCTGCGCTTGCCGACGCACTCTGGAAAGCCCCTGTGGAGACGCTCGTCGCTCATGATCATAAAAAAAGGTTAAACGCTCAGCTTAATCGAATCACCTTGCTGAAACTTTCATTCACGCATGCATGCAGAGGTTCTACGTAAAATGCATAGGGCTTATCCCAGCCGCCGATTGAAGCTAAGTTGGGCTTTCAGCGGAGAGTGAAGGTCGGAAGTGTGAATCGGAAGTAATTCATCTTTGCTCCAGTGAGAGGAGGTGTAGTGTGAACAAAAAGTTTCTCGTTTTTCGTGTGCAGGGAAGCGCTGCAAACGCGAAGAAAAGACGTTTAAAGGAACCAAAATTTCGCACGGCATAGCGGCAAGGGATCCTTTAGCGATAGGCTTTGGACTTCCAGGCCATTTTAGGCCACTCAGGGTCAGTGTGGGCTCTCAGAGGCCTGCTTAGGATCCTGAAGATCGGCGCTGGTCACCCCAAATAGTTACGTGTACATATGTGGTGCTTTAGGGCTTTCCGAGCCCAAGGTGGGACCCTCAGAAGCCAGTGTGGGCGGCGCCGGCGGCGGGCGCTAAGAGACCAGGCCCAGGGTGAGCAGGGAGCCCTCAAATAGCAGTGTGAACCCTGGAGGTCTGTGTCGAATCCCTAAGGACCCTACATAGGGACATAAGAAACATGTGCTGGGACCCTCAGAGGCACACCTGAGTCGTGACCCCTAAACTGCAGGCTTGGGCTCAGCAAAATCTGTCGCCTCAAAAGCTCGGCTGAGCTATCAGAATTCAGAGGCCTAAGGTTCTCAGAAATATTTGAAAGTATCCTCAAAGATCAGTGTGGCCCTTCAGAAGTCTACGCATGTGTAAGGTCCTCAAAGATCCCTGTATGGGCCCTCAGAGAATATGAACACCAGTGGGACTCTCAGAGGCCGGTTTGGGCCCTCTTAGGGCTTCTTAGAGCTCAGTGGAGCTCCTTCGGAGCCTGTGTGAAAAGCAAGCAGTCATGAGCTCTGTGGCACTTGAACGGTACTTGAGTCTGTCGCAGACATTTGACGAGAGTTGAGAAAGGCCCGAAGATTCAGTGTCACGCTTTGAACGCAAATTTTGTATCAGCACTTCAAAACTTATGAAAATCAGCTATAAAATGTAATGAACCAACGAGGAACATGAAATGAATCACAGTATTGACACTTCCGAGTCTGGAGTCGGTGTTTTGACGATGTTGGCGACTGCGACACCGACTCTGGCTTGAACGAGTCTGACCTCACAGGCATTCTCAGAAAGGTACCCCCATTTTTCCCGACTCCAAAATCTCATCGGATCTGTATCGATCTCAGGGGGTGCCCGGTCCGAGGTTGGGGGGGGGGCAAGCTGCCCCGCTTGCCCCCCCGTGGCGACGCTAATGCTATCACAGTTTTCTGTAACGATTTTTTTCATCGATGTCAACGTCCTCCACCCTTGCCCATCAAGAATATTTGTTGAAAGTGACTGTGGCCTGTGGCATAGCTATTTTCCAAAAAAATAAATGTACTAACTATCGGACTAAAAAAAAACAATTGGCACTATTCTATGGTAGGTGACCACTGACCACTGACCGTAGCATTATTTCAGCAGTAAATTGAACCACAAAAAGCATGCTCTGATCACTAACTGCTGAGCCCGTGGTGGTTATTTATTTAGTCCTGGTGGGGCCTGAGCGGCGAGCTGTACAAATAATTTTGGTAGTCATCATAGGCTCAGAGGGGTCCTCTGAGCATCGTGAAGTGAACGGTTTCGATGTCCTAAAATTTATTTGGGAAAGTAACGCCAGTGGCTGAAATGTGTATCGCTGTACAATTATAAGTGTTTTAAAGTGCGTTTTTCGGTCTTAAAGGCAGCCATGTTTTGCAGCGTTCCGGTGACATTCCATTTTAATGTCATGGTAAGAATGGTATGTACGTACTTACATACCGTACTCCAAATTGATCCGACTGAAGAAATGCAGACGCTAGATGCGACTGTCTAATGCTTCAGCGCTCCACCAGATGGTGGCACAGTCGGGCGCCGCGGCAGGTGGCGCTCTGGTAGTGTGTCTGGCAGTGTGAGCTGGGGGGTGGGGACGGAAAGGACAGCAAGCTCACTTGTCTATAGCTCCCTCGAACTGTGACCACGGAATCCCGCGCCATCCAGGGGCTCCCTGAGCTACCGAAGGGTTCTCTTAGCTACCGATCGTCCGTTGAGCTACCGAGGGGTCTGCTGAGCTACCGGGGTACCCCTGAGCGCATGTGACATGGCAGTGACCACCTGAGCTAACAGCTAACAAAACGGAGACCATTGAGCAACTGAGGGCCATCTGAGCTACCGAGCAGTCCTTGAGTGCCTGACAGATCCTTGAGCTACCGAGGGGCCCCTCCCCCCCCTCTCCAGCTACCACGAGGTTCCTGAGTTATGGCACTGAGTAATTCCCTGAGCTACCGATGTGTACCCTTGATTAGCGTGGCAGTCAGGCTCTCTGAGCGCCTGACATGGACCTCTGAATGCGTTAGGGAGCCTTCCGATCACGTAACAGATACCATCTGAGCACTGGAAATACATAAGTATAGGAACGTGAGGGGATGAGAGGCCATTGCCTTTTATCTTTATCGAAAACATGTGCTAAAACCATTCATTTGTAAACGTAATTAACCGACCATCAATACCTGTTTCACCTCTGAGCTCTGTTTTGCACAATCACTTTCCTCCACGAATAGATCAATGGAAGTTAAAATTTCCCTGGTTTAGGTATTGGCGGCGTGTGTCATCCGAAAATTCATCGTCACCTTTCGGCACAATGTTTGGTGACGCAATTTCTCTTTTCCAGATGTGTGCTGTTGCACAATGTACATTTACCTGCTATTGTTGATTGTTGAAACCATAGATAACATGAATCATGCTATCTATGTTGAAACACATGATGATTGCATCATTGCACACGAATTAATGTCTATGTTTATTTTAAAAGACGACAAACAAATGGGCGAAAGACGGGCGAATGTATAATCATGCCATTTCTTAATAAGCACATCGAAAAACATTCAGGTTGTATGAATCTGTCCCAGACCTAAGCAGTTATCGCAAAAGCATGCTAATATGTCTTGACTAGCCGGCCGGCCGGCGTGGCGGCAGACATGGTCAGACCGGTAATGGCTTCATCGGTCGGGCGTTTTTTCCTTCCACTCTTCTTTCCTCCGGCGGCTTGCTCTATCCCACAAAACCACCACGCACCCACTCCAATGCAGATGATGTTCCCCTTTGCCGCATGGCCAGCATATAAATAAGGACATGGAACCGCCGAGTCCGTTTTTACCTATACCTACAATGAGTTGGATATGTAAAATATGCAAGGGGACATTAGCTAGCAAGAAAACGGATCATATCGGTCCATCGCTGATCGGTAGGATCTGTTTGGCTTTGCGCATGGGATTCGGCTCATTTTCTAGCATATATGTAAAGGAATGGGGGCCTCCGCAAAGTGCAACAGAAGCTCACATTTTCGTCATGTTTTTCCACACCGCTATAGAACATTGGAGAATGAAAGTTCCATGTCTGTGCGCTCTCAATCATTCCCTCTAAATTCACGGAAGTTCGCGTATGCGCATACTCGAGTATCCAATCCATACTAACCCCTGTCGTATAACAATGAAGCGTCCTCAGATACCCGATCTTCCCGTCATGGTTGAACAATGCTGACCCTAGATATTCTACTGATACCCTGAGCTGTGCTGCTCTGGCCCCGAGTCAGCCAGGTAGGTACCGTTGTCGCTCGCCCGGTTCAACGCGCCGAGCTAATTCAATCCGACACCTTTCATACCAAGATTTGGACATGCTTCCGGACCAGACCCATCGGCCGAGCGAGTTTCTCCCAAGTGTCATCACATGCAGATGACAGCCGCCCCCCCCCCCCCCCCGGCCGTCGGTGACCCACCTCGCTCGCCGGCCCGATAGTCGAACAAACCAGCCCGCCGCGGCCGGTCCGTCTGCATTGCAGAGTGGGTCACGTGACCGGCCCGGTCGGTCAGAGCCGGAGCTGACGGCCGGTCACGTGACCGACCGGATCAGCTGGGCCGGCTCGGCTCGGTGCGGCGGAGCGGCTGGCTGGCAGACGGACAGTGGGTCGGGTGGCCGGCCCGTGAGTGCCGGCCGTGGCGACCGGGTGAGGCGCGGTGACGGCGCGGTGACAATTCGGTGACGTAGTGACAGCCGACAGGACCTGTGATGAGTTACTGACGAAAATCGGTGACCTGGAAGCGATTAGTGCCGGCGGCGGTGATTCGGTGATGCTGAACCGGTGTGGTGACAAAGAGAAGTGGTGTGTTGAATAAGAACTCGTAATATGGACAGAGATGTATCGACTGCATAGTGATCAGCTTAAAACAAATCAACAAACGACACTCAACAAATCAACATAGTGGAATACCAAACAACTGGACAAGCAAGAACAACAGGATAAGCAGGGACAATCATCGCGTGCTTGTGCCAAGCCGTGGCTCAGTGTTGCAGTGCATCCTATAAACAGGACAATGGACCTCATTAGCGTCGGCAAATGCAGCTTTGTTCCCAGTAAATATCATCGGTGAGCCTGGACACTAAAAATCAAGCACAAAGTGGTCTACATAGAATAGCCAACCGAGCGCTATTTTGAAGGCTGTTGAAGTTTGCAAGCTCTTGGATTGCTCCTCAAGACTGACTCATTATATGCAAACGGCTCTCAATCCAGGTTGTCTTTAGCTTAGTACGGATATCACTCGACAGTGCCAAGACCAGTATAGCTGCCTCTTTATCTGCATAGTACCCTTCGACCTCTGAAGCTGCCCTTCGAGCACGCCTCTCGATCACCTGGTGTTGCCGCTGGCCCCTGAGGTCACCAGTGCCCCTCTGCTTCACCGGTGCATCCTGCATCATCACTGACCTCTCAGCATCACCGGTGACCCCTCTGCATCACCGGTGACCCCTCTGCATCACCGGCGACCCCTCTGCATCACCGGCGACCCCTCTGCATCACGGGTGACCCCTCGCTCGCCATGGCCGGCCTCTACCCCGGCCCGGACTGCCGGCTTTCGGAGCCGGTGAGTGACCGCCGACCTGATGCCGACCAGGAATGTCGCCCGGTCCGGAGACTCTCGAAAGTCCAGTCCTTAACCCAGCTCTGCGCTGAACGGAAAAGATGCTTAGGATTTTCGTTAATTACGTAATGCCTAATCATTAGGTAGCTTAGGTACCGGTTTTCTCTTTAGAATATAAGCTGAGATATATTTTGCTACCATTGCCGAATGATGATGCTACTATTATTATTGTATGTTTAGGTACCAATTTCTAGGCCTGTGCTTTTCAAATAGTTATCTATCCATGGCATATCTTTCTTCAACGTGGTATCAATATTTTGAATGCTCACAACGGATAGAGGATTCGCTGTTGTTGCATATGACATAGATCTTGCTCACTCACTCCAACGGAACACATTGCATCTCGTGCACGTGTCTGTTCACTCACCTCCCACACAGCGCATTGCAAATACCAGGTCAGAGCTCACACTCACTAGTCAAACAGCACTCATTTCTCCCCTTCCAGCGCATATTAGCATAGCCATTCCCGTTCCCGACGATAAGGAGCCTTCGCGGCACTTTTACGCCCGTTATATTGTGCAGCGCGAACCCTGCGACTCCGCAATGTGCAGGGAAAACTCGGACAGGGGAGACCTGGGACCACCCGCTCACCTCCCTCCGCGTAACGGTTCGAACGGCCGTGTGCATTGTGCAGTCTCGTTGCTAGACTGGTGCGATGCACATAGTCCATACCGACTGCGAGGAGACAAGGTGCGACGAGTGGGCTGTGGGGGAGAGCGAGGACTGCAGGGGAGAGAGCGGGGCTGTGCGGGGCAAAACACTGCCGCAGAGCGAGCTATAGGGCTGCGGGAGGACAGCGAGGGTTGTAGCCGTGGGTCATTGCTGACTCAGCACCGCTACTTCACGTGCTGCTCGTTTGTCACCGCCTCTCCTCTCCTTTCGCTCTGTCTCCCCACTGTTTTATTCCGCTATACAATCCACCTTTGCCACCGGGCCACATCACGCCTTGTCTGGCTCCCATGATATTTTCTATCAAGGTATTTTTGCATGAAATCCCTAAATAGATGTTTCTAGTACCTAATTGCTGTACAGCAACAGAAAGCTTTCTGTAACCTAATAGCTGAATATGACACTGAAATGCTGACATGAAGCCTTATACATAATGCCAGATTGTCCAATCGAAGGGTACAGTGTTTGCTAAATTTGGCTCCAAAATTTCAACAGGTATTTACCACCAATTTCCTTCCGCAATTACCTAACTATCTGCGGCCTTTTTCTCGGATTCATTTTACCCTATCAGACAGAAAATTTGCATTCAGTTTTCGCATCTTTTCTCCAAAATTCTGCGCACTAACAAAAGCAGTCAGTGTGAGAAAGAAAAATGTTTATATGGTCTTCTTTAGACGGCCTTTGACCGATCAATTTTCAGTTTTCATCCCTTTTTTTGTGTCAACCTTCGCCCGTCCATTTCACTCATCAGCCTCCTTATTTTTCCCTATTCACTTTCCCATCTTCTGCGACCACTTTCCCACCTGTCTTTCCAACTGCTCGTTCATTTTCCTGTCAGCATTATCTTTTCATCTATTCACTTACCTACTAAGCCGCGAGAAGCCTGACAAACAGGCAGACAAAATTAGCAACGACAGTAACAGAGTGTTGGCTCCTTTGAGTACGGTTGGGAGCGTACCTGGTCGCAGCATACAATGCTAAGTAGGTACCTACTGATTTCCTGATAACACAAGCTGGTTAAACGGCTTTGAAGTGGCGCCGAGCGACATTGCATCGCCGCAATCAGCAATGTTATCTTCAGGTGACGTTTTATGTGGATGGCTCGTTTTCTTTCCCATTTCACGCTTCTTTTGAAAACTTGCATGTGATGTAAGACGAGTTTTACTTTATCGTATGAAACACGCAGACACGCAATCACCATCCTACTTTTACCGCGATATCAGCCATTAGTTATCGCCTGTCTGACGGCTGTGTTGTGATTTCAGAGCTCTTCCACGTACGGGCTGCCGGACTATGGAAAGGAGCACCTGATGTGGTGTACTGAGCAGCAGTTCGATCATGTGCTTCAGCAGCTGTCACCCAGGGTGAGTCAACCGGGAAATGCATGCAGAACGAACGGCAAAAAGAACGGGATGTGCTTTTTATGGGTGACTTGAATGAGCAATAAGCAACATGAAAACAGGCAAGAAACCACCCTTAGGAGACTACACTGGAGAAAGGGCACTTTGAGCTGCATCAGCTATCAGTATAACAATGTGATTTTGCCTGCCAAAGCTATATAGATCTTGGAAGCGAATATTCAGTGGTAACGATTCAATAAAGACGTTATGCATCTACGCCTTACCCATGAACAAGCTACGCCAAAACCGCATTTCACTATAGACGAATTTACATAGCAACTACCAATTTCTAATTCATCGTACCGCAACATAAGTCCTTTAACTGATGGCTGTCTACCAAAAATGCAAGCAGGGGCGCACCCAGGATTTTCCAGGGGAGGGGGCCCGGGCTCAAAGGGGCCTCCGTGTTCCGCTTGCCAGGGGGCCTTTTCTCTATCGAGGGGGCCTCCAAATGGCTTACTTTTTGACGGCCTCTGTATGTTTGGTGACGTTCTTAGCGTTATTAGTAAAGCTTAACCCTCACCCTGGCAGGGGGGTCGATGCGACCCCCCCTAAGGTTTTTCAAAGATAGCGTAAAATTGGCGGCGCGCAACGCCGCTAAATTTGGCACAACCTATGGGGCAACCTTTTTTCATGTGATCTGCAAATTTCAGGTCCGGTCGACCTTGGGTCAGGCCACCATGTCAGAAAAACGGGTACAAGGTTATGGTCAAATTTAATTTTTTATGTACCTGTCCAACGCACAGTTTTGGACTGATTTCCTTCAAACTTTCAGGATGTGCTAAGTTCACCGAGCTGTATAATATGTAGTTCGTTTTTTATGTCACTGACCTGAGGTCAGTTAGGGGTCATTACGTCGTAATGTTAAGCCTATGGGAAAATATTCAAATAACTCCTATTCGGAAAATATAGAGATGTCCGCTTCGTTGTATCCCTTTTGTTCTTTGATACCACAGTACTTAACATAATGTCACTCGGTGTTTCTTTGTTTGGTGTACTTATCTAAGGTTCAGGTCAAATGAGGTCAACTCAGGTCAAATGACGTTTGTGCCGATAACTTGTCACATAATAGAACAGGTTTCAAAATGGTATCATTCTGTTCCTCTTGAACAGCTGAGTCGAATGATATGCAACATTAAGCATTTCAACCATTCCTAAGACTTAAGTTTTACTTAAGTTGTGCACTTAAGTACACTTTAATACCTACACTTTTAAGTACACTTAAGCAAACAAAAAAAGTATATCATTCGACACGCCTTGACGTGCTGAGTTTACTGGTGCTTTTGTTTTGCTCTATCTTAACCCGCGCCGGGCCGGGGGGTGTTTGAACACCCCCCCCCCCCCCGGCGGCTTTTCGCAGCTCCGCGCCGCCGTTTTGAACACACCTGTTCGTGCATCTTTTCCGCACATGCTGTGAAAATTTCAGACCCAGGTCTCTCAAGGTCAGGTCAGAAACAAATTAGAATGTTCGTCATGGCTACACCGACCGCACGATTGCCTTGAAACTTTCAGCGATTGATGAGAGTAACAGTGTATCTCGTGTATCCTATAAAAGCGTGTATAAAAACCTATTAAACGTGTATCTCGGAATTTCGATATCGGTGACCTAAGGTCAGGTCAATTTTGCGGCCTCTCTATTATAATTCAATGGGAGAAAATTGAAAGGCGTCTGTTTTGCACGAACGCCATTCTAGACACTCTCAAACATCGGGATGTAGGTAAAATGGACACACTGAACCCGAAAATTGCACCTGTGACCCGGAGTGTGACCCCTCGTTCTGAGATGTCCCCGAGGTCATCTCAGGTCACGAATAGTATCTAACAGTTTTTTGCTAATAACTTCTGATAGAGGCATGATAGAGCGATGAAAACGCCTTAGATGTGTTCGGCTCGACGATGCGGATCGACTGATATGCAACATGACCTTTTCCGGTCAGGTCCTGAGGTCAAATTTTTAAGTTGACTTTTCAAGGTCAACTTATAGTTCATTCGACGCGTTTTGACAAGAGGAACACGATTCTGGCAAAAGTAATGTCGTGGCTTTTTTTAGTCAGAAGTTATTGCCGAAAAACACTGTTCGTAAAAAACGGCTATTTTTGGAGTTTTTGCCCTCTGGAGGCTAAACCGTTGACCTGAGGTCAAATCTGAGGACATATTGGCGAAAGAGCGTCAAAAGAGCTATCGAATGCGCTTTTCCGCGGCGCTGTAGCTCTATCGGTTCCCGAGTTAGCCGTTGGCAGTTTCCAAAATGTTGAAATAGCCAACATTTTACCTTTGGTGACCTCTGGTAACCTGACCTTTGACCTGACCCAAAAAATGACTGAAGTGTTTTCGTACTTATTTTGGACGCTCTTTTGAATGCCGCTTACCGCGTGTCGCTACGTGACCCAGGAGCCGAGTTAGAAGGGGGTTTTCAGACACCCCCCCCCCCCCGGCCCGGCGCGGAAGTCGCGGAGCACCTGCCCGGCGCGGGTTAATTAGATCAAAAGTTATCAGCGAAAACTTTTGACCTGTTTTAGCAAATTTTTTTACAATTATACCTCCCAAAAACCCCTAAATATTGACCTAGAGCAACCAAATTTGCACAGGGACGAGGATTTTAAGAGGGCCACCTACCTACCAAATTTGGTATTTCTAGGTGCCATAGGATCCAATCGCGAGGGGGGTCGCATCGACCCCCCCCCCCCCCTCTGCCAGGCCGCGTTATGAAAAATGCCCTGCCAGGGCGAGGCGCTGCCCGGATAGGACCTCTTGTGAAGAGGGGCCTCCTATCCAGAGATGGCCTCTTTCCCAGAGACGGTCTCCTTCCAGAGGGGATCCAGAGAGAGTCCTGCCAGAAGGGGCCTCTTGTGCAGAGGGAGCATTCCATCAGGAGAGGGCATAAAGGGTCTCGTTCAAGAGGCCAGAGGGGCCTCCTGACTCCTGCCCAGAAAGGGCCCCTGTGCAGAGGAAGCCTCGGGGTCTCCTGCCCATAAAGGAGCTCCTGCCAGATGGGGCCTCCTGGCTCCTGCCTAGATAGGGCCCTCTGTGCAGAAGGGAGCGTCCCATCCAGAAGGGGCCTCCTAAGCATAAAAGGTCCTCTGCCAGAGGGGACTCCTGCCCATAAAGGGTCTCCTGCCAGAGGGGGCCTCCTGGCTCCTGCCCACAAAGGGCCTCCTGTGCAGAGGGAGTCTCGGGGCCTCCTGCCCATATAGGATCTCCTGCCAGAGGGGGCCTCCTGGCTCCTACCCAGATAGGACATTTTGTGCAGAGGGGGCCTCCTGACTGCTGCCAAGATATGTCCTCTTATGCAGAGAGAGACTCCCATCCAGAGAGGGCCTCCTGCCCAGAAAGGGTCTCCTGCAAGAGGCCAGAGGGGCCCCCTGACTCCGGCCCAGAAAGGGCCCCTAAGTAGAGGAAACCTCGGGGCCTCCTGCCCAGTATAAGATTTCCTGCCAGAGGGGGCCTCCTGCCCAGTATAAGATTTCCTGCCAGAGGGGGCCTCCTGGCTCCCACCCAGATAGGGCCATCTGTGCAGAAGGGAGCCTCCCATGCAGAAGGGGCCTACTAAGCAGAAAAGGTGTCCTGCCAGAGGGGCCTCCTGCCTATAAAGGCTTTCCTGCCAGAGGGGGCCTCCTGCTCCTGTCCAGAAAGGGCCTCCTGTGAAGAGCGAGCCTCGGGGGCCTCCTGCTCATGAATGATCTCCTGCCAGAGGGGGCCTCTTGATTCCTGCCCAGATAGGGCCTCTTGTGAGAGGTGCCTCAAATCCAGAAGGGGCCTCCTGTGCATAAAAGGTCCCCTGCCAGACGGGGCCTCCTGCCCATCAAGGGTCGCTTACCAGAGGGGGCCTCCTGTGCAGAGGGAGCCTCGGGGGCCTCCTGCCCATGAAGGATCTCCTGCCAGAGGGGGCCTCTTGATTCCTGCCCAGATAGGGCCTCCTGTGAGAAGGTGCCTCACATCCAGAAGGGGCCTCCTGCCCATCAAGGGTCGCCTACCAGAGGGGGCCTCCTGGCCTCTGCCCAGATAGTGCATCTTGTGCAGAATTATAGTAGGTTAGGCAGGAAAGTCAAGTGTAAAAGTACCCTAAGCGGTGCTCAGGGGGCCTCCTAATTATGACCGAGCGGGGGGGGGCCGGGCCCCAAGGCCCCCCCCCCTTGGGTGCGCCACTGAATGCAAGCCTAAACAGCATGGCATTTGCAAATTGAGGTGCAGTCTGCAGTGCAAACAGCCTGACATGTCGCATGGCTCCCGTTCCCTCATTCATATCAGTCAGTGCTTCGCTTCAGCATCACCTACCAAAGCCACGACAGGCATTCACACCCCTTTAGCTGTTAAAAGCACTCTTTTATATGCAAATCGGACCACCACTCCTCAGGAGGTCCGAGAGCGTGAGGAACAATGAGCTCCATCCGTTAGCCGGAGACTTTCGGCTCTAGAGCCGTGTCCCCGAATGGAACGTGTCGTGAGAGGCCGTCCACCAACAAACGGAGAGTCGGGTCATTGTTTGACGATTTCTTCCATGAATTTCGCGTCACGCTGTTGTCAGTATGCGATGGTGTGGCGTTCGTTTACTTGCATAGCGATTTACTACATTGACGACAGTATGTAGTATATAATTTCCTGTAGTATATGCAGCGTATTTACTGTAGTCCTGTAGTATCCCCTGTGTATCTCTGCCTGTAATAACTACTGTCCATGTTTCGTCCTCGTTTTGAGAGCATGTGTTTTATAAAAAAAAAATAGCTATAATTAGCCCAACGTTTTTCATTGCCAGTTTCGATAGAAATACGAATAAACAAGGAAATGCCAACCACCTCAGCGGTAAACGTAATTACATTATTTATGTTTGCTTAGTCTGTCTGCTGCAATAAGGAAAGCTGCCCGTTGATTTTACTGCATGGCTAATGCATTGCTCATCACACGAATGGATCACGTGAATGAGTCGTTTCATAAGCTGGCTCAGGGTAACTTTCCAGCTGTTGAGGTGCTTGCACATGTTCTTATCTGCATTACATCGCTCAAAGTTTAAAATGATGCACAAGTTTAACAATAGTTTTATTTATCTATGATGTATCGCCTTTCAAGTGATAGCTATAGCATAAAATAGTGTTGGCTCGTTATACCCTTCGAATAGACAATCGTTCCGTTTCCCATTTACCACAGCTAGATATTCAGCAGTTCTGTTTCCTGCGCTACCTGATAGCAGGATTGCCAAAGCGGCTCCGTCCTGCCGGATTCTGTCATACACCCAGTGGCTCCATTTTCTAACCACCCGGAATCTGCAACAGATCTACTGAGCTACGTGCCCGGTGCTATCTGCATGTATGTAGCGCCGGGCACGTAGCTGTTGGTCTCTGTAGCTGTTGGCTTCGTGTCCACTGTCCAAGTATAGGTACTGACGGTGCTGTCGGGGTCAGTTTTTGTTTTGTTGGGTTAGGCCCTTTCGGTCGACAAGACCATTGCAGAGCCGGAAGGATGAGAGGAATTAGGGGGAGACATTGGTCTGGGCAGGCACCCTAGTGAGTCGCCGGGGCTGAGCCCGTCCAGAGGACAGGCCACCCAGCCCCAAGGCACTCACTGCACCCGGCTACGGGGTGCGCTCCCTCGGGAGCAGCGGTGCCGCTCCAAGGGAGCAGCCCGCATGAGATAAAGTTGCCTGCCCAGCCCGGAAGGGGGTTGTGGCGTGGAGGAAAAGGATTTCAGAATCCTGAGGATAGAAGCACGGACAGGTGTGTCGGGGTCAGTGTTTTTGGTAACCTTGTATCCTCTGCCATCAGGGTCCGTGTATTTACTATCCCTGTATCGCTTGCCGTCAGGGTCTTCTGGAGCTGATTCAGCTGCTGCAGGACGCGATGCTGCTGGAGCAGGCGACGTTCGACAGCCTGCAGCAGCAGCTGGACTCGTCGGCGGCCACAGACCAGCACCGGCACCGACTCAGTGCCGCCCTCTGCACGTCGCAGGCCCGCCTGACGCGCCTCTGCGGACGCAGCATGCGCTGCTTCTCACAGGTGGGTCGGCCGCGCCGCTCGTGCCGCCCTCTGCCGCTGGTGGACCCATGCGGAAAGTATACTATCCTGTACCGTTCTGTGCCACTCGTGCCGTCCCGAGCCGTCCTGTACCACTGGACACTGGTCGTCCGTGCCGTCCTGTACCGACCGTGCCGTCCTCTGCTCGTGCAGCTGATGTCGTCCTTTTGTCGCCAATCACCAGTGGCCGTGTCGCCCTGTGTTTCCCTACATTCTCATCAAAATCGTGCTGCTCTTTTCCAAGACATTCCCGTTTTCACAGCCAACACGTCACATCCCTGTCCTCATAACACCACTTCCAGTACCTTGCCAGCACCGGTTACCTACCATATTCACCGCTTCATATACTGCTTCTGCTTCTGCTCGACACAACTAGGGGAAGCGGGGGTAGCACCGCCATGTGGGAAACACCGCCATCCTCTCTATCGGCAAAACTCTGAATTGTAAATGTAAACACCCGCCATTTCGGTGTCCGAACGGAAACGGGACGCCGCGTGAGGTAGGTTTCGCTAAGATTTATTTGATTTTGAGATCGCAATTGCCCATTTTGTGAATTTCAAACCATCGTTGTAATCATTTGGCATGTTTGAGCAGCAAGTAAGTGGTCATTTCAAGTCAAAATGCCTTGATTTTTACGTTAAATTTGAGGGCTCTTTGTTGAGAAAGGAATTACAGAAGAATCGCGTCCCGGCTTGTTTTGCTGTCGGGGCGTTGTCGGTCCATGACTGTGAGTGGGGTAACACCGCCATGCTCGGCGGTGCTACCCCAAGGGGTGGCAAAATGGATAAAGCCGCAATGATGATTCACTCAGCTCGGAGAAGAGCTTACAGCTCGGTAAGGCCGCAAACGTCGTCTGTTTTTTAACCTCACGTTTGACTTCACTGGATGTTTCGAAATAAACGTGAATTTGTCATGCTTTGTATGCATATTGTCCGCAACAAACAGTCTGATCTGTGACAAACTAACAACCAATTCTTGTGTGTCTTATATGAGTTTGAGTTACTATTTCAGACAGCAGTAACGCTTCCAAGGGTGGCTGTCACCGTAAGGCCGATCTGTGGATAACATCGCCATCAGTGGCGGTGCTACCCGCACATTTTTTGGAGGACGAAAAATGCAGGACTTGTTTTCGACGTCTGTAAAGTAGCGAAATTTTATAATGGAGCGCTGGAAACTATGCCAACATGTAGGAAAACATTCCTACTTTCACATGAATGCAAAAGAGCTTCGTTTTTACTACGCATATCAGCTCGGTGAGCAGAAATGCTTAAGGTGGCGGTGCTCCCCCCGCTTCCCCTACATCCAAACTAGATGTAGCTCATTAAGCTTGCATTCAGTTGTCATGCTGATAGAAAATCGATCGCATTACAAAAACTTCAAACATTTCGGGTCTCAGATATTGCAGAAAATAATTCGTGCAAAAAGTACTAAAATCTATATCTGATAACACCTCGATGTAAAGTTATCGACCATATTTGTTACATCACGCCGCACTCTTGGCAGAACCAAACACAGTCGTCCTTTTCCTGCTTTTGTTTTCCAAGTTCACGATTTACTTGCAAGAGCGCTTTGTCTGCTACAGTAGCCAATTGCCATTGCATGTGACAAGAACATTTTGCTGATGAGATGAGCCGGCCGATGGTTCGGTTGTAGTCAGCTTTGAACCGCTCGTGCGTCACTTATTGCTCCAAATGAGTGACGAGAAACCACCTGCTGGTAGTGGCAATTATTGCTGTATGGGAGATGGAGTGAAAGAGTAGATTAAGGATTGAATCGTAGAGTCGTGTCCGTCTATATGGGCAAGAGAAACGTTCAATCTCACACAAGCTCCACGTCGTCCACTTAGTTTGAAAGATGCTGCAACTTTAATAAGGACTGCAAAATTGTCATGTATTAGCTAGACCACTTTGTACTCCGTGCTAAGGTATTAGCGACCTATTTTATGCTTTAGCTCACGGCTGAAAGATGCATAACTTTCATAATCGCTAGCGTCATTTTAATACATAGACGCATACAAAATGAGTAGTTTGATTTATCTATACCAAACATGGCCAATGGCCGTTGACCATCGTCGTTTGTGCGCGCAAAACTTGTCTACTTGGCACAGAGAAGTCAAAAGTAACATCAAACACTTACCATCCATGAAATGACACATTGACCTACAGCAAGCAGACCATCATACCTACCTCATGTTTCAGTTTATAGCACTAATACGGTGAGAGGAATTGAAGAACGGCCATTTGCGGCTTGCAATCACTTACGGACATCCGAGAAACTCTTTGAGTGTTAGAAAGCCCTCCACATTCCCTCGCTTCCCTGGCTCTGTGGCGGCGTTTCAACACAGCTGCGGGTGGCGGCGGTGGCTGGCGCGCCAGTCGGGTCAGTGCGGCGGTGGGTGATACCGGTGCAAAACGACGCTCCCCGTGACCCACGCGCCGCCCGAGGTGGCCGGTGCCGGCAGTAGTGCTTCTGTGAGGACTTTGGTTTGTCGTGAGGATTAGAAGGCACATATCTGCAGTGTTGCTGTCCTGTATTAGCTCTCAGTTATGTACTACGCGTGTGCATACTCACCGTTCCAAAAATCGGTAAGCAACGCATGTGATACGTCATGATAGCAAAGTATCAAAATGTTGCTTAATGCTTGTGTTATTAACTATCAAAATGTTGTTTACTGCTTGTGTTATTATGATCAATGGTCCTTTTTCATTTGCTTGCCTGAAATGTATTTAGGTTTCTTAACTGTCGAGGCTTGCTTAATTACAAAAAGAAAACCACTTTAATTTGGTCTCAGCTTTTCTAATGAATTCGATTTAACAATTTTTAGTATTTCAAATTTTAAACGATTTTATTGGCAGGAACTCATCAATCATCATGATGCAGTTCTTTACTAGTCGATACTTTTGTATAAGTCGATGGGACTCGTACGTTATATATCTGCACTTTGGAGTACCTACATTTGTATTTGCTACCCATAACACAAGAAACGAAACGATTGTTGTAAAAATGAGAGTATGATTACGTTATTACGTTCTGTCGACATTTTGTCATTAAAAAGACAATAACTTTACGAATGAACAACGCTTCGCAATTAATGTCACTAAATTTTCAGAGCTATTAAAAGTCCCCAGGCACCTATGTTTTATTTCCAAAAGCATTTCGAATGCCCACTCCCCCCCCCCCAAAGTATATATAACTAAATACGACCACAATTAAGTCGACCTATTGTCGAAATCTCTCGAATCATAACAATAATCACCACATTTTCATTCCGTGATACGAAACAAAAATGACGTCGGCCCGTGCTAACTCACGACGGAGAAGTTAATTGACGACACATATTTACTTTGATACAGAAAGCTTCCGATATAGGATCAGTAACATGCATATGAATTCATTTAACAGCGTATCGTTTTTAGTGAAACGTTATAAACGCAACACGTGATTATGCTTTGCATAACTATACGTACACAACCGTGCGTAACTGGACACTGGTATCGCTTCAAGGGCGTCGCTCTTGCTTTACGCGATTGCATGCGATGTAGGTGCGCGACTCTCGTATACAAAGGATTTCTTCATGTCCTGTGGAAATGTTCTTGGGCAATTGACCACGCTCAAATTGTATGAATGACACTAATGGGATCAGGTTAAACTGTAAATGTTATGTTTCATGTTTAGCAATACATTTCTTACTCACTTTTCTACAGTAAGCTGTACCTATATATGAGCTGTGCGCTATATTTAAGAAGTCTGTGGCTCGCTACAAAATTAATTGCATTACGAAAGTAATAGTATGCATAGTTCCGTTACACCCAACACCGGTATGAGGAGCCGAAATGTTTGTGCCATTTAAGCATCATCTCCTTAGACCTATTCAACATTCATAGCCATGCTATTCTGTAGTAACTATATCGAAGCTTGCTGCTTGCTAGATATTGATATCAAGTTGAGTGGCTTTTATTTAGGGTCATTGTTGGCAACACATGGCCATATATGGTTATTTAGGTAACACAAATTAGTATATAGAATTATCACATGAAAGACCTACGCAAAATAACAATAATTGCTCTTTGACTTTAGCTTAGCATTGCGAAATAGCGTGCAAAAAAACGGTAGCAAATGCATTGCAGTTTATTTTCATGCCTGTTGGTCTCGGCAGCACTATCGGGCCATCAGTGCTGCACCGTCCCTGTGGTTGCCTAATCGCGTTCGTTTTCACACTGGGACGTCTTTGTTGTTGGCTGCGGATGCGGTTCGCGGCACGCCACCCCACATTCAGCGCCACTGAGCCCAACCATTGCGAGACATTCCTTTCAGCGGCGGTGACCTGGTTTGACACGGGACTGCGTAAGGTCACTATCATGCGCCGTACAGGTCACGCCGCTTCCGTTCGATTTCGCGGCGCAGCGGAAGGCGGAGTCATTACTCAGAATGCTGCCGGCACGTGTTCTCAGCAAATTATAGCGCGCGTGCTTCGGCCCGGCCGCCGCGCCGACGATCACGTGATCAAGTCATCACGTCATCGCGTTATCAAGCGCCATCGCGCTCGGATGCGATTGGTGGGTGACGTCATTCGCGGGTTGTGTCGTCATTTGTAGAAAATTGTCCCGTCATTACCTGGAAAGAACTGGGCCATTTATCGCAGCATGTCACGCACATGGCTAAGCATGCACTTTTTCAGTTGCTTTTTTTCCTTTTAAGAACATAAAATAAGTGGCCATCGAAAGATTCATACAAATGATCAGATAATCTTGAAGCACACGGCACACCTGTAATAGGCACTCTGGTGTCCGATGTCCCTTGGTAACGAAATTTGCTCATTCAGCGCCTCACCTTCCACCCTCTTAACTCTGCCACCACCAATTCGAAGGCTATCTCCACATCTGCACAGTGGCAGTAGAGCATGGATTCAACGCCTCCCGAAGAGCATTTTTGACGGCTTATCGGCCGGCTTAGGGTGGACGGAAGTGCCGATATTTGCCGCAGTTCCGGACGTAACGTCGGCGTGTCACGATATTCACAGAGCTTTCCTTGCCAGGTTGGTGGCGTCATTACACCACCGTAAAACCGGCTAGTCGCTTCATCTGGCCCACATTTTTATATCGCTGGTGAAAATTGACCGGCTATCCGATGGTGTATTAGTGAATCTCGTCTTCCACATGACAGAGGGCAGCGCTGCACACGGACAATGCTAACTTCTGGCTACCAGTAGCCGTGATATAGATGGCAGCAGCTCTGTGCACCGGCCGAAAGAGATGGGATGGAGGATGGCAGTCTGGCATCGCTCTGCAAAAGCGAAATACAAGAAAACTTGCGGTCGTTTTAGGCAGGAAACGTTGGGAGAAGTATGTAGGTATGTGTCAGAGACAAGCAGTATGCAAACAGCGCAACGTTTTTGCTTTGGAGAGTGTTAATGCTTTTTAGGACACAGGAATTACAGATGATGACGATAGCGCATACAAGAAGTTGACTTCGCTAGAAGAATGCTCTAGTGTGTGCAACAAAAGCGCAATCCTGAAAGAGAACCCAGAAAGCAAAACAGACATGCCGAAATGCTGTAATAGCCAACACAACAGAAATGTATGTTGAAAGGTGGCAACATGCATTCGTAACTGTTAGAAAAAGTTGAGCGCTGAAAGACTGCAACAACTCACATAACACCATCACTCAAGCTGGGAGACTGCAGCGGCGCATACGAAGGCAGCACCTCGGTGATTGGTTACTGTTGTGGTCCCTATTGCAGTCTCTGAGAATTGTGCCTGAGCCCTGATGTGTGTTCTTACTTCTTACAGCTGTGCACTGTGCAGCATGGTGCATCTTTGTGCTATTAAATCCATCCAGTGTGGCGATTATGATGTTTGTTATGTATATACCTGTGCTGTTATGTAGCTGGAGGCATTTAATGTCATCATCTATTGATACTAATGGCTGCTAATAACACCAGCAGCTGCAAGCCCATATACTTTATCAATGTAACTTTGCCAGCATATCACTCAATCTATTTGCTTTGGTGCTAGTAAATTACACCTGCCATGTCATTTGCTTATATGTAGTGCAATTTCCGATTCCAGCTAACTTATGCGCATGCTTCGTATTTTCATCATAAAATTAAGCGACCAGTAATTTATTAAATTCCATTCCGGATATAACATTCCAAGACTTTTTCCGGCTCCTTCTGCCTCTTACTTGCAACTGTTCTTTCTTTAATGAGCCTCGACATTTGCGCTGACCACTTGTGACACGATATGCAAACCGCTCACGATTCCGCCGTCACCTCTGACTTCACGCGCCGCTCGGCGGTGGGTCCGGTCCGGGCGGGACGCTGCAGCCCTCCCCTCCCCTCCTCCTCCCCTCCCACCGCGCCGGTGACCGACTTGATGAGGCCGATGTTGGAGCCGGCGTCGGACCGGTGTGCCGGGTCGTCCGGCCGTTCCGGATCACTGAGCACCGGAGGAGGGGTCGCAGCGGCACCCGGGCCACTGCCCACTGCCGGGCCGAATGCTCCGGCCGGAACGGTGCAGGGAATGGTGTGTCGGAGGGGAGCTTCCTATCACCAGATTCTCCTTTTTAGATGTGAATAATGAGCATTTCGATATGCTGCCAAACTTTTGTAGTTATTCGTAACATTTGAGCTTGCGGAATTTGAGATGCAGCCTTCTTACCGGTTGGCACAGGCCAAACCGTAGCACTGAAAGCTATCACAAGCGGCATTAGCATGCTCCTGGAACTAATTTTCTATGATTTTCCTCACCATTGTAATAGCGTCTTGTTTAGAATATAATAATGATCGTCTACGCGTATTCCTGACGGTGACATTCGGTGTTCACTGTTCATTGCAGGTATTAGCAAATAGCAGGGTGTAATGAACTTCGCATTGTATCATTTGTTTGAAGTGTCATGAAAACCAATGATTACAGCGCTCGGGTTACAGTGACATTGCTTCAACCGACACTTTTCAATACCGCTAGTCATCGCCTTGTGATTAGGCGTCGCCGTTTTGTTTGGAACAGTGCGGCAGGGAAATAACGCTATGTCACTCGATGTGACGAGGCCGCATCATAGCCTCATCTCCTGGCGCATCAGCTCACACTCATAGCGACTCACGGAAAGATCAATTTCTTCTTATAGCGTCACGTCCTTCATTCAGATTAACTCCATGCTTTAATGGATGCGGCGTAAGATAACGTGAAATGGTCAATAGCATGGATTTATTCAATCTTCCATGAAGTGAATCTCCACCAAATGATTTTCAGCAATCGATTGAGTTTCTTTTCTTTAAATCCGGACGCCCTGCAAAGTAATTTTGGATGCGGTTATAATTACGTCACTTGATTCCGAAACATGAAAATTCAATCCGGCGCAGGAGTCGTCCATTGATCGCATGATTTAACTTTCTCTCTTTGTTCCGTCCGTCATTGAATCGCACACCAGTACCTATCGTCCAGTAACTTCAAATCTAGTTTTCAAGTTCTACCGTTTTTTCATCTTTTGATGCCCCAACTCTTTCTAATAAAGTCTAGTTTCGGACTCCAAATTCAAACCATGTAGGTACTCGTACCATTCGACCATCCCGCCGTGAATACCACGCGACTTCCGTCACCATCAGTCACGGAATCCGTGACAGTCGGTCGTGACGGTCACCGTGACGTCCCGTCGGCCATCCCGGACTCCTTTTGACATCGTGTGGCACCCCGTGACGCTCCGTGACGCCTCGTGACGCCCCGTGACGCCAAGCGTCATCAGCGGCGGCGGTCCGCCACCCTTTGTTCGCCGGGATATAAGGCGTCAGGTGGTCGTTTTGTTAGTCACTTCTCACTATCCCAGTAGGTAGGCGTCATTGCATGGGTGTCGCTTTGTATAGACTTGCTAGAGCCCGATCCCTATCAATAATTTCATAATTTTAACATTAACCATGGCGGTGCATGGTACGAGTGGCTTTGGTATCCTGAAGTTAACCATGAGAGCCCTACCAATAAATTTCGGAAAGCGACGCCCGTGTGTCATTGCTTGGATGCCGAGGTCACCAGCATGAGGCTGTCCATGATACTTAGGCGCGTGACGGCTACTTTATTTTATTTTCCTTTGCTCTTTGCCACAAAAAGGGCACAGAACAAACCTATTCGTTGACTGTTGTCTTATCTTCCTGGATTCTATCGACACATCGTGTCATTGACAACGGTCTAGGGCTGCCACTTCTAACCTGTTCGTCAATTAGTTGGAACAATCCCGGAGGTCAGCGAAGCGTGACGACCACAACGAGTAATGGGTCTGGCTGTAATCACCCAGGAGGACCGGTGCGGTCATATCGTCAGCTCTAACCGATCGCCGCGCGGTGTTATATGTACGCCAGCTGGCGGTGGTGTGATCGTCTGCCGCATTAAAGTCCCCATTAAATGCCGCCGGGGGACGGTGGGCAGAGGCGCCCCTCTGTACTAATGACGTCATCGGAGGGAAGGGTGCAGTGAACTCAGCTGCTCACATACATACAGTATCCATTTCGAGACAGTCACCGCATGCATACCGAGTAGCGACGTTGGTCAGTGTAAGTGCAGCTAGCGGTGTTGGCTGTATATCTGATGACAACCTACTTTGTTTTGAAGTTTGGTGCCTGTAGCATTATTCACAGCCAGCCAGACCACTCCTCGCCTCGAGATCCTGAATCCTGCTCACTGCAGTCCCGAAGCTCAGGCCGCAGCCCGAGGCCGGGCGGAGGAGCGGTCAGTTGCTTTGCTATAGCCGTGCTGCGTTAAATCTTCGTTATTGACTTCGATAGGATGATTGATGATCTATTCACGCATTTTTGCTATTGACAACTCCATGAACGAAGCTAAATAAATCTAAAACGTAACACATATTCCCCCGTTTTTATTTCAGCAAGCTCTGCGATCCCGTCAGCAGTTCCAAAATGAAGGCACCTCTGACTCGACCCCCGAAAACATCGGCCAACAGAAAATGTCTGTCCATGGACCAGTCTTGCAGACGTCCGAACACAGCCAGCAAAGGACAGGCGGCGAGGCGGTCTCCTCTACAGAGCACAGGCGGCAGCGCAGGCCGTCACAAGGCTACGAGCCGACCCCTCCCGCGCCTCAGCATGTTCCGCAACGACGGTCCACAATATCACACGAGTCAACGTCTGTTTCAACGTCCAATGCACACGCAGACTCCCATTCCAAATACACACTGGGTGCAAGCCGTCGTCAAGAGCTATCATCAAGAAGCCAGTCTCTCTCGGACCTTACTCAGAAACAGCCACAGGCCGAGACTGGAGACGCCTTCAAACGCAATCTCTCGTTCTTCCAGCGCGCCGCGCACGGTCTGAACGCGCGCATGAGCCAGTCGGCGGCGGCGGCGGCGGCCCGACGCACCAGCAGCAGCAGCGTCGACTCCGACGGCAGCATCTCGGGCGCCTCCTCCTCCTCCGACCGGCCCGCCTCCTTCGGCTCCGGCCGATTCGGCGGTGTGACGTCACCGTCGGCCCGAGTGACGTCAGAGCCGGCCCGAGCGGCGCCGTTCGGGAGCGGAGCGGCGGACGGCGGAGGAGCCTCGCTCAGAGCCGGTCAGCGGCCGGGAGGAGGTGGAGCGGGAGGGAGCGCGGCGTCCGGGACGAGCGGAGGTGTGAGGGTGGGCGGTACGGCAGCCGCCAGGATCCGCCAGTCGCTCCGGAGCAGGGAGCTGCGCTGGGAGGAGCCGCCCCGGTGGGGAGCAGACGACTGGGAAGACGAGCGGTCGCCGCTGTTTGAGCGCCGCTCCAGCGACACGGGTCTGGTACCGCCGCCGCGCCGGCCGCACCTGCAGCTCCCTGCGGACCAGAGACGCAGCTGTGAGGACCTGAGCGCGTTCGACCGGCCGAGTCGACCCCTGTACTCCAGCAGAGTCGGAGTCCGTGGTGAGGGCCTGACCCGAGCGAGGAGCTGCGAGAACGGCCTGGACCGATCGCCGTTCTCTGCGCCGCCTCTGAGGACGGCCAGTGTCGCTGCTCTGGTCACAGGCCCCAACGGAGAACAGAGAGGCCAGTACATCCTTCGGCGAGCTCCCTCAGCAGAGGAGGTACTCGAGTCAGTCAAAGAGCTTCGCGTTGGCCGACGAAGCAGTTTAAGAATGGAGCGTGATCAGCAGCCGTCGTCGCGCCTCCCCGAGGCCAACTACCAGAATGTGCTCTTGTCATCAGCCTTTCAACCAGCCTTCCAATCCAACAAATCCCTCGGTACGAAAATATCCATCGGGAGTTCAGGGAACCCATCATCCCGCCGTCGAGGACCTCCAGAGACAGGTCCCGGCTGCTACCAGAACGTCTGGGTCGGCACTGGCGACCCGCACGGCCCCTGTGAGGTCATCTACGACCACCCAGCGAACCCCAGTCGCAAGATCCGCCCTGCCGAGCACGACCAGCTTTACGAGAACGTCCACTGGTCGGGCGCGCCGACGTACGAAAACATAGCGCTGACCGACGGGGTGGCCCCGGCGGAGGTCGCCCCCGAGTACGACATACCCCGGAGGTCGCGAGTATACGACACTCCGAGGGCGGTGCCGACGAGTGACGGGACCTCCCGCTCGGCGGACACGGACTCGGACTGGGACGAGGACTCTCTGGATGGCGACCTCGGCGTCCGGAGGGACGACAACTCGCCAGGTGAGATAACGACAGGGAACAAAATTATTTTCATCATCCACAATTAATAAAATGTACATGTAACTAAAAGCTCTATAATAATGAAACATCGCGCCGAGATAGTTTCAACAAAGTACTTACCTTGGGCTAGTTAAGTGTCCATCGAAAGAACAAAGTACTGCTTGACTTATTTTTGATGATACTCACACATCAGCTGGTGACAGGCTGAGCGGCAAAGCGGTGTTCACATCGGACGTGCCATCGACATGTCCTTTTGCTGCACCACCATACAAGCGAACCCTTTCACCGTGTAATACCACCGGGCACCGATCTTCACCGGGCGTGTGCGGGCTTATGTGGGCTCGGTTGTGGTCATAATCACTAGACTCCGCATTTCATTACAACAGCAAGAGCCCACTTTTGACGGTTCCAACAGTCTAGGATTCAGCGGCACTCTAGGCCGCACTGCACCCCGCGGGATCGATGCAGACGAGACGCAGATCAACGCCCTGCAAGTCTGCAATCTTATTTTGGTCCTAATTCACTCAGCATAAATGTCACAGAACTTGCTTCATCTTTATTTACTCTATATCTTTGCTTGTAAGATGTGTGTGAAGTCGCCATTTAACACAAAAAAAAAATCACAACTCACCAGCCGATCTAATGCCCATCACTCACATCCCATATCGAACTGTAGATCTTCTACCTATGACAGCTCGAAATATCTATGAAACCCTCGATTTTTCCAGTTCCTCGCCCTGCCGTCCATCCAAAGTCCACCGTTATTCCCACTCGTTCTGCCTCGTTTGGGCTCTGTCTCGGCCGGTAGTTTGAACCCCAGCCTGCCTCCCACACCCCTCGACGGCTCAGTGCGGAGAGGAGACCGTGCCCTGGGGCACCCCAGGCCACCGGACCGTTACGGCCATTTCGCCGGCCCGTGGTCAGACCTCACCAGTCGCCGGATTACGACCCGCCGGAGGCCGTTCCGACGTGAATAATTGGACGCCTTTTGTGATGATGCACCGGTGCAAAGCTGCGTCCCTGCACGCGTGCATGTGCACGGCTGCGTTGGGATTATTTCAGGCATAGGTATCGCCGTACGATTCCATGTTTCCCATGTGACGATAATAGACCATGCCTATTGCCTATTGTCTAGTACGGCGGTCGGCGGGAAGATGTTAATGAATCCCTGCTTTTATCAGCAGCCGACAGCACAAAAAAAAAATGGTGAACGTACGAATAGTATCTTTGCCCTGAATGGTGCGGAGCTAGATCCGCTCCATTTGCTTTGCGGTCATCTCCTAGCGGAAACACAAAGCGCCAACATCGCTCTGCACGCTCCGATTGTCGCCACAGCTCCCAACGCACATCAGAGCGTGCCGCCGTGCGGCCGGCGCGCACGATGGCTGATTGGGTGCGCACGCGCGGCGCCGGCCGGATGGCGAACAGCGGGTCTCGGGTATGGACGGCGGCGCCCCGCGCACTCCGTCACTGATGATGCGAGGGTGCTCCTGGGGTCGGTGCCCCATGCAGCTCTTACAGAGCGGTGTTCACGTGGCTGGTGATGCGACGGTGCTCCTGAGTTCGATATCCGATATGGAACGGTGCTCCCGGGATTACTTTCCTCGACGAGACGAAACCATACTGGTCTTCATGGGTTATGTATTCTCTATCACGAGACTGAGGGTATTCTAGGGTCAATGCTCTCCGGTCCAGCGCCCCAGACCCGTCACGCTTTTGTGGATTTGGAACATTTAATGGTCAATGCTGACTGGTTACTCACTACTAATTAGCTTTGCTTTCTGAGTGCAATAGTGAGCTTACAATGGGAACTGAATTTGTGCGATTGCTTGCTGGTCTAATTGGTGTCGTTATTGCTATTGTTATTACATAATTTTTGGCTTTTGTACTGATCCTGCCGTATCATTTCCATTTAAACCATATCAAGTATACAAGGCTAAATCGAAGCCAGAATCTGAACTTAAGACTTCATAGTCTTATGCAAGCGACACATTCGCTTGAATCCACTCGTACATTGTTGGCAACGTCTGGTACGTACGTACATATCAATAGGTACACCTATTAACTTTTATCGGCTATGATAGTGCACCAAAATCCCAGCAACACTGGAACTTCCTCGGTGCATCAAACCATGCATGATTTATTCCGCAGAAAAATTGATGGCTCAGAGGCATGCATAATTTCACGCTATTTAATTTTCCTATTACACAGCTGTTTGACCGACCGACAAGGTTATGCAATTATGGTCAGTTCGTCTGCCGGTCGGTGAACAGACGCTGCTCACGGTCAGCTACCATGACTAAGTGCAGTGCAGGGATGCAGTGCAGGGATGAGGCGGGTCTCAGTGTGAAGGGTAAAGACGGGCACTCGTCCACAAGACAATAGACGAGGGCCCAGCTCATGGCATGGGGGCAGTGACTTCGTCATGCATGATGTCAAATGAGGGGACGTTATATCTCGACTGCAGCGAAATAAGACCAAATTCATCCCCTTGAGAACTCAAAAGATCCCACAAAACAAGCGATCGTACAGGTCAGATGATTCGACAAAACGCAAGCCAAATAGTGCCACAATGTGACGTAAGGTAGCTACATATATCCACGGTTTTTATACGCGATTTTTTCCCGAACAGTGCACTTCAGCTTATGTCTTCGATACCACTGGCACTTTCTACACACATCCTCACCCAACCTCACAGGACAGACTTTGACCCCCGTCTCCATCCCGGCAGACCGCGATGGTGACGGTCTGCGGGGCGGAGGGCGCGGGACCCACGGCAGCGGCCCGTACCGCGCGCCGGGTCTGTCAGTCAGCCCTCTACCGGAGCAGACCTCGCTCGGCCAGACCCGCGCAACAGGCGCCGGCGGCGACCACCGGCTGGACCAACAGGTGGACCCGCAGGCGGACCAGCAGCTGGACGAACAGCTGGACGAGGGGCTCGGCGAGTCAGACGGCCGCAGTCACTACAACGAGGACCCAGGTGCGTTCTGGGGCTCCGGGCCGGCGGTCTGCTAACAGTATGACTGATGTTTGTAAACAAGCTCAGGACTTGTGAGGGTTAAATGCATGTTATCTATTGCATTCACTATGGCCAAATACCTTATAACAAATCCCATTTGGTCATAAAGCGGCGGCGCCGAGCAAAAAAAAAAAAACATTGTGGGCTTATAGCTGCTAAAGCCTTACCTACCTTACTTCGTGGCAAGTGACTTAGTAGATCAGTGCCTGCTCAATGCGCCCAATATAGTACGTGTAAGATACATCAACATCACCAAAGTGTAACCGTGAAGTCGTCAAGGTGAACGATGCTTAGCGTCACACCTGTCGGTGGTTCCACTCCGTGATAAATGATTCCTTAATAAATTCAGCATGGCAAGTAAAAATGAACGGTGACGTTAACTAATGACTTCTTTGGAATCGTCCCCCAGCCTGAAAGAACGCTGGGCAGCGAGCGACCGCCAGCTATTCAGAGTTGATTTCCTTGATACCCCGCTCTACTCGAGAGAACAAAGGGGCCGACGGGGATTCCATTAAAGGTCGAGGAAATGCCTCTATAGCTATTTATTGACTGGTTGTCGTGGTCACATATAACGCCATTAATTTTGTGGCGCCGTATACCTGAAAATGCCGGTCCCACTACCGTTAAAGCTGTATGACCTTACTTTGTGTGAGCTCGCGTATTCATTTGCTTGTTTGTATTCGATAATTAGACGAGCACCTATCCAAAATGGGCGGTTTTGGGCGTGTGTGTGATGCTTTGCAGGACGGTATGTGAGGTGCGTACCTAAAACATCAAGGTCGATGAAGCTCTAATGGGTATAATTTGTGATATTCCGAGTTCTGGAGGTGATTGTTGAGTGTATGTTGTCCCCATGTCTGGAAGTGATTATTGATAAAGTATCGTCCCTAGGACTGGAGGTAATTATTGTGTGTTGTCCGTAGGTCTGGAGGTGATTGTGGAGGAGGCCGAGGAGGACTACGTCACCACCTCGGAGGAAGAGGATGAGGACGCCGAGCCGGCTGCCTCGCTCGCCTCCATGGAGGGCTCCGAGGGCATCGGCTCGGCGGAGGGCGACCTGCGCTCCAACGGGTCTCTGGAGCGCTGCAGCACCCTGTCCAGCTCAGGTGGGCCAGTCAGCGGGACATGTAGAGACTCGGAACCGCTGGTCTCGAGACTGGTGCTCCCACCATCGCTCTTAGTAGAAACCCCAAGCAAAGCTGATCGAGGATTATCTATTCTTGGCTAAAATCGATAAAAATGTCTTATTTTTATTTTATTATCGCCCCAATGTCAAATGTATCTCCGATAAGAAAGGAGCGCAACTAAGTATGGCAATGTCATTTCGACATCGGTGTTTGATCGGGGCAACCACCCTTTAAAGTGCAACAGCCCTAAACTCTAAATGCAAAGTTGTTTGCGTGACGAACAAACTATTGAAGCATGACAAATAAAGACCAATGCGTCGATCGCTAATCGCTGTTTCCATCCGATGATCAGTCTTTATCCATATGCATTATGCATTTCCATTTAACAGCTGAGTAGGGGAGAGTGGGGCAAAGCGGCCACCCTAACGCTTCTCACGATGCCAGCGCTTGATTTGTAAACTTGGAAAGATTCTTTCTATACCAATGTGATCCCTATCAAGTTGCCTTTTATTTCAACTGCGTTTTATTTCCAAAGGCGTTCACATATGGAAGATATTGACAAAACTTTAAACCTATGCATATCGGCCACTTTGCCCCATACCCTGGGGCAAAGCGGCCACCGGCGTCTTCTCTAGTCCCGATATGAGAAACAAAATAGTTGCCTCATGTACGACTAGGGTATTTGATGGTGACAAGGTTTAAGCGAGGATGGATGCTTGATTTGTCAGCATCCCACCTGTAGGTAAACAAAGAAAGGATTTTCATGAAAAAACATTCAATTGCATTATTTGGTAACTCATGCAACTGAAAAGTGGCCAAGACGAATGCATGACGACACATTTGAATATAAATAATGTTTTTTATCCAGATGGAAACAACTTATGGCCAATTGGGGGGTGGCCACTTTGCCCCGGCCACTTTGCCCCGCGCATAGCGTCCGAGACAAACATATTTCAGCTCAGCTATTAGTGGGGTAAAAAACATCAAAATTGGTAGAATACATGTACCATAACCATGCAACGCATGGACAAGAAAGCTTATAAAAATTCCAAACGGTTATGGAATAACATAACATTTAAAAATTGTAAACATAGTTGGTAATCTGGCAAGAAATGCTTTTCCGTGTTTCACAGAACAATGGTGATGGGCCTGAAACCCCGGTCTGGCTCATTCGAACGACCGTGAAGAGAAGTATAATTGGAAACCATAAATTGGAACTGACGCCAGCTATGAAGGGCTAAAACGATGGGTGGCCGCTTTGCCCCGGGTGGCCGCTTTGCCCCACTCTCCCCTATCTCAAATCTGAGCACAGCTACCGCATCTGCACGCAGTACGCGTCGCATCCACAATGGATGGGACCATTTGAACCTCCTCTGTGCCTTCGGATCAGTCCAGATTAGGAGTCCTGTTCCGCCCCGGTGCTCTGCGCGCCCCCGGGGCACGGGCGCCGACAGAGCTGCGGCTCAGACGCCCCGGACAAGCGTGTCACTCGGAGTGACTGACAAATCGCTATCTGCTGCGGGATCCTCCGCCACGGGCGTGTCGTAACGACCGAATAATTTGGGAAGTGTCACGGAACCACTGAACCGAAACGCTGATGGATTGCTGGTGTGTCTGGGATATGTGGAATGCACTGGCGAGCAATAAAATACGCACGTCGCATACACCCATTGGCTAGCCGTACGAGTAGGTGGAGCTAAGACGTGAAGTGTAACGTCTTCGAATTGCATTGTAATATGTAACACGATCCTAAACTCTTCAAAGGAAGACGTACCATGACTCTCGCATTACAGGTGGCCATCGGAGTATGATGCAAGACGATGACCCCGAAGGACCGCTTCAGAAGGACTGCTCCATCGATATTTACCCTGAAACTATGCGGCAGCGCAAACACAAGAGACGGTCGCAGGTATGAACAGCATGACAAGTTCCGAGTTTACTTCTTCATAGCGGTATTGCTTTTTCAGAGCAGTAATAAATACTTATCCATGCACTTATGTATGTCGCGTGAAAATTCAAATGTCAGATTAATAAATGTACGAAATTCCTATTTCTGTGTCACAATCAATCTATGCTAACTCTTCGACAAAAGCCTAAAGCCCCTCTTTCTGTTTTTTTTTTCAGACGAGCGATGACAGCGACAGTCTAAGGAGCGAGCAGACGCTATCAGCGAGCACCGATCCGTCAGAGAGCCGCTCCTCGCCCCTGGAGGGCCTCCTGCCGTCCGTGAAGGCGCTCAAGAGCAAGTTTGAGCGGTCGGCCGGGAACCCGTCGGGGTCGATCGGTCGGCGCGCCGGCCGGTCCCGTCCCGGCGGCGACCCGCTGGCCCTGGACGTGCTGTCGGCCGCCCTCGGGGAGCTCAGTCGCTCCGGCGGGACCCATCGCCGACCGCTGGAGACCGTGTTCGATAAGTTCCCGCTGGTGGACGAACGCACTGTGAAGCCGGGAATCGCTACCGACGCCTGGGACCCGGTAAGTGAAGCACGGGCAAACTATCGGATAGCTTGCTCGGGACCGTGTTTAATGGCGGCATCGATGGGTGGCTCAAAGCATCCCCATTTTATTGCATATAACGATTTCAAGCAACGTCATTGTGATCGAGGACATATGCTGATTGTAGGCGCTTTAGGCGCTTCTTTGCTTTCCTAATTACAAAGTCGTCCTTCCACCCGACTTCTCAACCAGAGCGAGCTGCTGAAGTTGCTGTACGAGGTGCCGCAGCCGAGCGGCCGCTCCCACTCCAAGTTGCGCTTCACCAACATCGAGGGCTGGCTGGAGAAGCTGCCGTCCGGCATGACGAAGGCCACCTTCTGGAACGCATGGAAACGACGCTACTTCAAGGCCAAGGACGGCTTCCTCTACTACTATCAGGTTGGAACGACAGCGGCTGTTTGCATTTAAGCATTTTCGTTTACGAATTCAACATTTTTAATGATATTGTATCAGCATTATAAAATAAAATAGCGATTTAGACGAATATCAAATCAATGCTGGATATAAAACGGCTGATGCCGCAATGAATAAACGACAGCTTAGCTATAGGGGGCACAACCAGGAACACTGATCAACACCATATCAGTCACAAATGATGACATGACGTTCTCAGCAGAGGCTCAGGCATGCGCTCCGTTTAAGTTCACTTTCCCTTTTTCTTTTTCAGAACAACGTCACTGAGAAGCCTAGTCTGGTGCTGCGGCTGATGGGAGGCCGAGTCGAGCTCATGGACTGCTCCTCATTCGGCACCAACGACGGGGTAAGAACCGGACTGCGATGTTGTTGGCACTTGGCAGTGCAAAGGAAAACATCACAATTTGTATCAAGCCAATGTTAATCTCGTGATTAGAATGTTTATTCGACCCTTCTTTCGTTCCAGGTACCGCAAACCGTATTCAGCTTGTACGACGGGGTAAGTGCCGGAATGCATCCATACCAGTAGTATAGTGTCTGTCACAAAGCAGCCGAAACAGTCGAACATGTGCAGCGATGAATCAAACACTGTATTGTATGGCCTAAGTGAAAAATCACACGATAGCGACACGTACATACCTGAAGAAGTGTACACTTGTGCGTCCCTCCTATCACCAGTCGCCACTCTGTGCGATGTAGCCAACCACCCCGTGTGTGCACAGGTGGACCGTTTCATGGTGGTGCGCTGCGCCCGCGGGAAGGAAGCCGACCGGTGGCACCGTGCCCTGCTCACGCACACGGCTGACGACGCCAGCGCCACCTACGTCCAGCCGGTGCGGGTGCCGCCGAACCCCGTGTCGGCTCAGAGGAGGGTCATCATCGACCTGGGCAGCACGGCCGTCCGGGCCGGCCTGCTGCTCGACCAGCGTGAGTGGGAAACGAACCGGGCTGTGATTGATGCGTGCTATTTAGGACTTATTTGCATAAATAAACATTCATTCAGCATGCTATATGTGGTAATTTATTATCCCATTAAGGAATTAATGAGACCAGCAAGGCTCAGCAGCTCGTCATACTACCGTCTGGCCTCTTAGCGTAAGCTCATGTCTCACATTCTCCCTGCATCTCTCTCCCGCAGCCACGCTGCCACAGCTGTTCTTCCCGGCCGTCGTGGTGAGCTCCGGTGACGGCCGGCCGCTGGCGGTGGGCTCAGCGGCGCTGCGGCCCGCGGCGCGCGCTGCCGGCCGCCTCTGGTTCCCCGTCCGCTCGGCGGCCGCCGGCCGGAGGAGACTGGACGTCCCGGCCGCCGCGGCGCTGGTCCGCCTCGCCCTGCGGCGGCTGCAGCTCTCCGGGGAGGTGACCATGGTGCTGAGCGTGCCGCACGGTCTGAGGTCGGCGGTGACCGCTCAGCTGGCGCCGCTGCTGCTGGAGGAGCTCGGTGTGCGCGCCCTGGCGGTGGTGGAACAGAGCGAGGCGGCACTGGCGGCGTACGGCGTCACCACCGGTCTGGTGGTCAACGTGGGGGAGAGCACGGACGTGGTGCCCATCATAGACAGTAAGTTATATCGGGTGGAAGTCAGGAGGCATTGTTGAAACTTGTGGGAGCTAGAATATTTTGCGTAAGGCCACCAGGCACTCGCAGAAATGAAAGTATCAGCCTACATAGAAACTCACTAACGCTCATACACGATCATGCATCTCTTAAAAAATGCTCATCGAACTTGACGAGGTGCGTAAGAGGCATTTCCACCCGCAAGAATGCTGCTTGCTCTCCCATGTCACTAACCCCAGCTGACCTGCCCCTCCTCCAGGCGCGGTCGTTCCCGCCGGCGTGACTCGTCTCCCTCACGGCGGCTCGGCTCTGCGGGACCAGCTGCGACCGTTCCTCCTGCAGAAGAGGCGCTCTCTGACCGGCTCGGTCGAGTCCCTGATGCTGCGACACGCCTTCGAGCGCCTCTGTTTCGTCTCGGAGCGGTACGCGGAGGACGTGCGGCGGTGTGCCGCTAACCCGGCGCCGTTCGAGAGGACACTGCCGGTTGGCCATCTGCTGGGAGACAGCTCCGACTGGAGGTGAGGGGTCCTGTTGGATAGAGAGGGGAGGGTGGAGTGGGATGCCGTCAGGGGCTGGGTTAAACGAGATTGGAGTGAGGATGGAAACGGGGTACATTGATAACGATGCGTTCTTTAAAATTTGTAAGTGGCTGATGTGGAAAACTTGAGTCTCGGGAAAAAGAACAGTCTCGGGGAAAAAGGGGTGTAATTTTAATGTGTGACACTGCGAAAACATCACGTACGCCGTTTGTGTCTTTCGCAGGGAGATCGAGCTTGGCGTTGGCAGGTTCCAGGCACCGGAGAGCCTGTTTAGCCCGCACATCTGGGGTCTAGATCAGCCAGGACTTCATGAGCTGGTCCACAAGGCCATCGAGGTACGGGCAGACATTCGGAAACGTCGCAACTACTACCCTTGTGCGCACTGCTCACATTTCAAGTTATATTAATGGCTTGAGGCTTCCCTTCTCAAATTTGAGCGGTAGACGGATGCAGCCTGCAACCTATCGACTGTATTCTCTTTACTCGGCCTGTTACCTAACCTGACCTGACCTTTGACCTCACATGCGATCTGTCCTGTGACCCGACCTGTGACCAATGACCTGTGACCTGTGCCCCCAGGCGTGTCCGGTGGAGAGTCGCCGGGAGCTGCTGCGCACCGTCTGCCTGTCCGGAGGGGTGACCCAGCTACCCGGGCTGGCCGAGAGACTGCAGCTGGAGCTCGACCAGCTCGCCACCGGACCGTTCACACCGCGGGTCAGTACAAATCAACAAAGAGTCCGAAGCTGATATCATCATCTTATGATTTGGAAGCGACAAAATGCGAGATTTCTATATTGCTGAAAAATATAGCCACGATCCGGTACCCAAATATTGTCTCATAATGTCGTGTTTCGTTCCTTGTTTGATAGATAATGATGCAGAGCGTCGTAACAAAATCTTTAAATCTGGCTACAATATCTTTATATCTTTCATAATTTACGTAGCTTTCATACAATTGCCATTCATCTGACTGACGTTTGTCCGTCTCTTTATTGTCAGGTACACGCGTCGGCGTACCGGTGCCACGCCACGTACCTCGGCGCCGGCGTACTGGCCGCCTCGGACCGGTTCCAGCAACGCGCCGTCACCAGAGCCACCTGGCGGCGACACGGTGCAGCTGCGTTTGACGCGACCACCGCGTGAGGGACCGAGATGCGTCCAGAATCTGAGAGATCGTGTGGCAGAAGTAGGATGGGTAGAGGCCAGAGAGATCAAGGCCCAGCCTACAGTGATATCGAATGATGCGATGATGATACTGTGTGCGATTTTACGTACATATTGATATTGACTTTTGGTGGTTCTCTAGACAAGACGAACAGAAGGAGGGGAGAGTGAGATAGGAATGGGAGTCGAAATGATTGTGAAATCTATGGAGAGTCAAGTAACTTCTCCGGAGGGGTCAAGCTGTGATTTACTGCGTTTTCGGTTTATAGCAACACTTTGTTATCAACTGTTTTGCTTGTGGGATAAGTTTAAGCGTTATTCGATACATTCCTCTTTTAACTAGTTAGTTTTAATTTCCACTATTGTAAAGTAAATACAGCACGAGCGTCTAGTTATCCAAGTGCCACTGGGGGGGGGGGGGGGAGAGAAACTCTGCAATCCCGAAACCATGGTTTCGTGCATTTTGCCAATAAATCACGGCAGACGATGTAGAAACTCGTGAAACTGCGACTTATGATGCGGTTTATATGTACGGCCGACCTTTTGATGCCTCCAGACAGTTGATGTGGTCGGTGTATGTGCGTTGTGCATCATGGTTGTTTGTTATAAGGGAATAATTGTTTGCAGTATCTATGTCTTCCTGTCGCTTTACTGTGCAATCTGCCACGATATGGACCGCTTTGCTCCGCGTGCTGTTTTCAACGTGTTGGTAGAAGCAATAAATGATATCAGCACCTAATAACAGCATGTTTGGTGTGAAGAACGTCATCGCAAGAACGTTTGAATAGTTATCGTTTTATGCACTTCCCTCCACCCGAGAACAGGCATTACGGCGCAGTATATCACGGCACACCGGTCCCATACCGACGCACATTCACATACGTGCACATTAATACGTACGTGTAAATTAATCTGGCCCGGAGGAAGGGTTTTGTTATTCGAGAGAGTGGGACGGTGGTTCGACCATTGGAAGTTGTATGAGATAAATTAATTTTTTTTCTAGATAGCGTTGGAGGTATGAGTGGGGGTGCTACTTTAACTAATGACAGCGCGCTAACTGATCAGCCACCAGATTGACCGGTGAGATAACTAATTACTGCTTAAAAATCCATAGTCAAGACTAAGAGATCGCAGCATTGCTGTGTCAACGAACGTATAAATTGTTCTTATAAAGCAGGGTTATCATTATTATTAGCAGTTATAAAGCCTACTCAGCGTGCCCGTACAATTTTAGACAATTTAACCATAGACAGTGTCACAGTGCCCAGACATTCAACTCAGTACTGAAGAAGTTCCCCGAGAGCCGTGGATCAGACGGCAAACATACACAAACACATTACACATTAAATTCGGCCCGGACATGGGGGGGAGGGGATAGGTTTCGTGTTTGTGGTCGCACTATACAGGTTCACGTATGTAAGTTCTACCTACATGGTGGAAATAAGAAATCGATCATCAATGTTTGGCTGAACTACTCTATTTAACACGTACGATGCAATATCAATGCCATATTGATCATTAAAAAAGTGAATTCTAACTACATAAGCTTATCATCGATTCCGCCCGTATTAGCCATAGACATATTGCTGGAGAAGCTGGACGCCCACTGCTGGCAGAGCCCGGGAGGGGAGAAGAGGGCGGGGGGATCACGCCACCCGGCGCGGCTGCCACCCCCCGACCCCTTCCCCCACCCCCACCCCTAGCGCGTGCACTTCTGCTTCCTGACGTAAGATAAGCGGCACTGCGTAGCTGCACTTTTTCGGGTAACAATATACGCATAGAACGAAATGCTGGGAGCCTCTTTCCCCTTAAGCCGAAACATGAAGCGTATTTCGCAAGTAGGAATGGAAGGTTTTTGTCCTAAGATGAATGGAAGGCCGATAACCAAGCCTACAACCTCGCTTGGGAGCGCAGCGCCTCTAGCGGCCGGCCGGCGAAATAGTGCCTGCGGGCGGGAAAATCGCCCCTGTTTTCTGCTAGAGGCCGTAGGGTCGGGTCGCGGACGCTCTGCTGGCAAAAATTGGGTTCGAGGCGCGGCATTTTCGTAAATGGGGTGTTGATTCGTGTCTGTGTTTGTGCGTTACTTCGGAGTGACTGGTAGGGTGGAGTGCGGTGCGTCAGTGTTCACCAGTGGCCAGTGCAGCGCCGTGTGCAGTGGTGACGGGCCGCGGTGGCCGAAGACCTCCCGGCTGGAGGGGGTGCCGGCACTGGGCCCACGACTGGATCCAGGGACTCGTCGGATCACGAAGCGGTCAGTCCGTCCCGACCATTGTCGGGGCGGTTATTTTGATATCGTTTTATTGTCCTGCATGCATGCAACGGTGGATCCAGGGTCCAGAGGGCAACCATAATTTAAATTCGGCAGTATGGTGAATGATAATATCAAGGTGTGATTTCAACTAAATGTAGTTCGATGCATATCAGTATGTGATTTAGGAATAACAATCACGTTTTAACTCACATGATTGATTTAAGAAACTTTTATAGTGAGTATGAACTGGTATGGATATCAATATGAAGCTGTATAGGTACCAATATCTGACCGGTCAAGTAATTAGTAAATAATATAAGGTTACTTGTACTAGGTACTTACTCGTGTCATTAGCATATTTTTTTATTAAAAAGACATGTCCTGTGCGCTGTAGTCTGGGATTCACCGTTTTGTATAGTTCGGTAATGCACCTCTCCTGTCATCATCCCCAACCACTTTTTTGGACTATATATAACCATTTTAAAGCGAAATGACAGGACTTTTGGTACCAACGCGTGCCAATTCGCCGTCGGCCATCATGCTTACAAATCCGGTCTAGAGTATAAAAATTTGCATTTAATAAGGGTGCATGGGCTCAGAATTGAACGAGAGATAACCATCCTAAAAAGTTAGATTTAAGTCATCAATAAATGTTTTTTTTCAGTGTAGGAGACGTGCATTATTGAACGTTGTGGTTTTGTTTCCTCTTGAAATGCACCCGATCTATTTTTCCCCGAGTGTTCCGATCTACCGCGATATTTGCGTGGCCGAGACAAAACTGATTTTTGCATAACTATTTGCTTTCTGGGGCGTGTATTGCGGTCCACCTTTTTACGCAAACTACCAGTTGAAGACGTTTTAATCCTAAAGTTACTTCATAACACATTTTATGCTCAATAGACAAATGGAAATTTTAAGAGGAATAGAACGGCGCCGAGCCGAACAATTCCTTCGTTAAATTAAAAACCGTAACTAAATTTGCATCATTAATGCTAATGAAATTAACGAAATGTAAATTATGAAGGAAGGTCACCGATTCATTTCATCAAATATTATTTATGCTTATTTCATTTTTTTTCGCCATCAGTTGTCTTCGTTGTCTTCGTCAGTCCGTCAAAATTCAAATCATGCTCGTCTGAGCTGGTAACATAGCGGTGTTCTTTTTCGACCCGCCAGCCTGCAATGAGCGGGTATACAAAGCCCGCATGGGTTTAAGCGGGTTGCATCACCAGTGCCTACCCTTTTTGGCACTTTTAGGGAAACACCCTGTAGACTTATGTCGTCCCGTGTCGTCGCCGTCAAGTCATCTGTCGTCACATCTCGTCACCAGCCAGTCTTCTATCGTCACATCCATTCGTCGGGCTGTCTACTCGCCTTCTGTCGTCATATCTCTTCACCAGCTAGTATAGTGTCGTCACATCTCATCACCAGCCAGGCTACCAGTCTTCTCGTCACATATCCATATCGTCACCAGCTAGTTATCTGTCGTCACATCTCGTCACCAGCTTGTGTTCTGTCGTCACATCTCGACACCAGCCAGTACTTCTAGTCTCCCGTCATCACATCTCGTCACTAACTAGACTTCTGTCGTCACATCTCGTCACCAACTAGTCTTATGTCGTCACATCTCGTCACCAACTAGTCGTCTGTCGCCACGTCTCGTCACCAGCCAGTGTACTCGTCACATTTCGTTCGCTATCTAGTCTCCCAGTTTTCAATCGTCGCATCACGTCATCAGCGAGTCTACTAGTCTTCTGTCGTCACATCTCGTCGCCAGCTACCTAGTCTTCTGTAGTCAGATCTCGTCATTATCAAGTCTTCTGTCCTTGCATCTTGTCATCAGCCAGTCTTCCGTATTCACATCTCGTCACTACCCTAGACTTCTGTCGTCACGTCTCGTCACCAGCTAGTCGTCTGTCGTCACATCTCGTCACCAGCCAGTATACTAGACTTCTGTCGTCACGTCGCGTCACCAGCTTATGTTCCGTTGTCACGTCTCGTCACCAACTAGTCTTCTGTCGTCACATCTCATCACCAGGTAGATGTCTGTCGTCGCATTTCGTCACCAGCCAGTATACTAGACTTCTTTCGTCACATCTCGTCACCAGCTTGTAATCTGTTGTCACATCTCGTCACCAACTAGTCTACTGTCGCCACGTCTCGTCACCAGCCAGTAAACTGTCTTCTCATCTCGTCACCAGCCAATCCACTAGTCGTCTGTCGTCACATCTCGTTCACTATCTAGTCTCCTAGTCTTCAATCGTCACATCTCGTCATCAGCGAGTCTACTAGTCGTCTGTCGTCAAATCTCGTCACGGTCAAATCTTCTGTCGTCGTATCTCGTCGCAAGCTAGTCTTCTGTCGTCAGATTTCGTCGTTATCCAGTCTTCTGTCCTTGCATCTTGTCATCAGCCAGTCTCCCGTCGTCACGTCTCGTCACTATCTAGACTTCTGTCGTCACGTCTCGTCACCGTCAAGTCTTCTGTCCTCACATCCCGTCACCGAACCGTCTACTCGTCCTCTGTCGTCACATCTCGTCACCAGCTAATAAAGTGTCGTCGCATCTTGTCACCAGATCATATCGTCACCGTCATATCGTCACCGTCTATCATATCGTCCTCGTCACTGGCTAGTCTTTTGTCGTCACATCTCGTCACCAGCTAGTCTTCTGTCGTCACATATTGTCACCAACTAGTCTTCTGTCGTCACAGCTCGTCACCAGCTAGTAAACTGTCCGCCCATCTCGTCACCAGCCAGTCCACTAGTGGTTTGTCGTCACATCTCGTTCACTATCTGGTCGCCTAGTCTTCATTCGTCACATCTCGTCATCAACCAGTCTACTCTAGTCTTCTGTCGTCACATCTCGTCACCAGCTAGTCTTTTATCGACACATCTCGTCACAAGCTAGTCTACTGTCGTCAAATCTTGTCACCAACCAGTCTACTGTGGTTACATCTCGTCACCAGCTAGTCTTCTGTCGTCATATCTTACCACCAGCTAGTTTTCTGTCGTCACATCTCGTCACCAGCCAGTTTATTTTTCCGTCGTCACATCTCACCAGCTAGTCTTCTGTTGTCAAATCTCGTCACCAGCTAGTCTTCTGTCGTCACATCTCGTCACCAACCAGTCTTCTGTCGTCTCATATCGTCACCAGCTAGTCTTCTATCGTCATATGTCCTCACCAGTCAGTCTTCTAGTCTACTGTTGTCACATCTCAGTGTGACCAAATTGGTTTAGCGTTAGGGGGAGGATGTATAAAAAAAGTCGTACGAGGATGTCACTATTTTCAAAAAACTTCGTCTTCAGCCTCATTTTAGGTGCAGTTTTACAGACAATGTGGGAAAAAACTATACCTGACGTCAAGTTCTGGTGGAAAGTAAAAAAACAACAACAAATGTTGTCATTAAAGATGTAAAAAACGACATTGCAAGCGCGACAGTACGAGTATGATGGTGCGAATCGTACATTGGAACATTTTCAGTCTTTATTCCTA